TCCAAAGACGTCTCTGTGGTCATGTGGCCAGCATGACTAAATGCCGAAGGCGCACGGAACGCTGCTATCTTCCCACCAAAGGTGGCTCCTATTTTTCTACTTGCATTTTAATGTGCTTTTGAACTGCAGAAGCTGGGACAAGTAATGGGAGCTCACTCTGTTACACGGCGCTAGGGATTCAAACAGCCGCCCTTTCTGATCGACAAGCTCAGCATCTTAGCCACTGAGCTACTGCGTCCCTTCAATGCACAATGTCCATTGTACATTGACAATGTACAATGTCTGTACATTGGCATTCTGTAAATCAAAGTTGTAGATGTAAAGTGTGCAGCCTCTCAAGATGTCCCTAGTCTAACTGTCTTTCAGGTGTCTTGACTATGATGGCTGGGAGAATGGTAAAGTTGAGTTTAAGCACATCTGAGAGGCAACCAGGGTGGGGAAGATTGCTGGAAAGTTTTGTAACAGACAGAAAGAAATGATTAAAAAAATTCTATATGTGGGTACATTGAAGCTTAGCATTTTTTTTCCTTTTTGTTTATGGTGGCATGGCTGCCAGAAGCAGAATTATAAAAAGTTTGTTAACATTCACTGTAGCCCTTCCTCTTTAATACTTGTTCTTACATACAAGGGGGTATGATAGGGACCAATATTATTGGTTAGCAACTGTTAAATATTTCAGTAGTCCAATTCTCAGAGGAAAAATGCTGATTTGGCCAACCCTTTCAATATTTCCCTACGGTGGTGTTAGACTCTGATGTAGCATTGTTATATGTTCAAGGTGACCACAATAGTTGCTCAGCTTATCCTGTCAGTGCTGAAAGCCAGTTAAAAATAGATTTGGGTCTGGCAAGCTTTGCCTGAAAGTTATGTGTGTTAGTATTTGTATGCCGGGTACTTAAACAGAACCTGAATGAGATCCTGCTATAACTACTACATTTCACCACAACGTTACATAATATCATAACATTAGTTTGTAGTTTTTAGTATTACACCAAACTGACTCTCTTGCTGTTAGTACAACTTGGATGTATTAATTTTTCACAACGTTTGTGAACTTCAAGGCAGTTCAAAATTGCCTCCATGGTTTTCCCTGAATTTTCCCCT